ATTAGTAAATTGGTTATATACTATAACTATATATATACTATAACACTAGTATAGATTTAGCTTCAGTTTACTAAGAGCGCTACTTCGGAAAGTAAAAAAAAAAAACAAATTAAAATACAAAAAGTATTCCGACCCAATCAATATATTAATAAAACAAATTAAAAAAATCTTAGAGACTTTTCTATAAACAATTATTAATTTTTCCATTATATTCTCATGCCTAGCGGTGAGTTCTTTCTATACAGAATTATATCGACATATTTCTAAACAGTAAGTAGGTGCTTCTTAGTCTTCTTATATGAAAAACGATTAGTAAAAGAGGAGTAAAACTATTCTTTAACCGCTCTATAGGTATTGGTCTATTACCCGGTAATTACCGGAAATCCCTAAATCCAGTTATGGGTTTAGTGAGTTTTACGCATACATACATTCTTCTTGACATACGCCAAGTGGACAAGGGTTAGGTTAGTTTGATAGACATGTTTATGTAGTAATGTTAATAGATGCTGTAATTAGAATTTATAGGTTATTTTATTTATTTATATTATATATTTTTCTGGAATTTAAATCATGTTTAGGACTTTCACTCTCCCAAAACAGAGACAAGGCACTTTTTCCGACATACAATGTTTTTCATTCAACAGTGGTAAGTGAAACAAACAGAATACAAAAACAGAGTGTCTTCCCTTAATAGAGACAGGTTCTATTGAAGAATTTCTTATATTCTTATTTACCAATAACATATAAAACGGCTACATTATCAAATGAGATATATTCACAGTAGCTGATTTCTGCTTATACTGAACTTGCAGGAAATATTATAGTGTGCGCGCAGAGGCTAGTGCGCTTTCAAAAACAGACAGACAGAGGCCATTTGTATCTCAAAAAGCACACGCCATGTTTAAAAAAATAAGCCTGTTCCATTCTTAAATACAACTATAATAATAATTTTGAATTATTCCATTTTAACCCTATGTGTAGGAGCTACGTGAATGAAATATAAAATTAATAATTCAAACATCGACATAGAAGAACTATATCCATCTCAAAAATCAATAACCTTTGTGGAGGTGCTTTAGTGGTTATATTTAGAATTTAAAAAGGGTTCGATAAAGCCTTAAGTGCTCTTAAGCGTTTGTTAAAAGAAGACTACATTCAAATAAAATCCATAATGTTAGATATATTTGACTAGCGTCGTCAATTACGGAAGAAATTATGCCTTAACTACAATACCAAAAATAGCATAATTGTCTCCTTATACACACAATATTATGTTATATATATTTTTGGTTTTAAAATATTTTGGGGTTTAACCTTCCCCCAAAACAAGAGGAAAGGTCTTTTTCCGACTACGTTCGATCAATCTATGGAAGAAATTATGGCCTTAAGGCTTCTAAAATTATCAAAAAGTTAGTCACAACCAGAGAGGAGGGAGAATCTGGGGGCAACCCCGACAAATAATTAGTCTAGCAACAAAGCGGAATGAGATCTGGCCTATACACACACTATTATATTATATTATATAAATTTAATAACATGTTAAAAGACTATAGCTAGTTGGTTAGAGATAGTGTGCTATTTATAGTACTAAGTTCGACTATATTATATATATAAATTTAATAACATGTTAAAAACTATAGCTAGTTGGATGGTGTGCTATTCATAGTACTGTTCGAAATCTTTACGGAGATTACAGGTTACGGAATAAAATATTTTCTCGTACTTTTTATTTTTATCTAAACATCCTTCACATTTAGCATACTATATATAGAATTATTATTTCGAAAATATTAATCCTAACTGATACATCCAACACAGATTACAGTCTTACAAAATAACCATTTCACCATTTTCTAGTAAGACAATTTTCCAAAACGAAATAAGTGACGGTGAAGTGGTATTTTAATAAGTCAGAACTCATAAGGTTTTACTACCAAACTAACACCAACCCGAATGCCACATTTTTGCAGTAAAATAAATACACTTAACACATTTAAAATAATTTGTATATGTTCAAAAATGTATTTGTAATGGACACATTTTAAGTAAAGTTTGAGTGGCATATAACGTTACCGAAATATGTTAAGAAAAGGATTTATGTCACTGTTTTTCATGAATTGTAATAATATCACAGTTGAGGGCTTATAGGTTAGAGTTAATAAGCTTAAATAACCAAGTATGTGGCCCTCACGGATGTTAAGTAAGGCCAGGCCATTCGTATTATGTGTATGTAGATGTTTATGTATAGTTTTTATTCAACACTTTGTTGCTCAATACGATTAATTTTAAACGAATTTAGCTACCGTGAGTTACAAGATTTTCCCTCTATAGTACCAACAGAAAGCCATCATAAAGGAACCCGCATGTCTGACCTTAGGATACTACTACCAAAATAGGCGCAAATTTAAAGGCCTGTAATAGGATAGTAGTAAAATAAAAGTGGAAAGAGCTGGTTATATGAAAATGGAGTTAAAAATACACGAATATTTTATGCTCTTTCCGTACAATATCCGGATAAGCTTTCTAGCGGGCCGGAAGTTAATCAGTATTTATTATTATCACTGCGCTTTGCAGGTTAATTACCTGTGAACACAGTTATATCGTTCATTTGCTTTCAGACGAGATTATAGAGTTCATAATCCAGTACAAGAATACTTTTTACTTATTTTAACATTGTACATCTATGAACCGATTAACGTTTTAAAATAGTATTTTGGGGTACATAAAAGGAACTTGTTTATTACTTTGAAATGTATGCTCTGAAATGATTAGGAGTATGTTCCAGATAGAATGTTCGAAATACAAAACTTTAGTTTAATAAAATTTGATGAGGGTGATTCGGCCGATCGTCACATTTTTTTTGATAGTCACTGCTTAGTTATACTCGGGTAATGTTAGGCGCATTTTTATTTTTATTTATACCTTTTTGTTAATTATATTTGTTAATAGCTTTACGTCCTCAATTTATTATTTTATACTGAGTGTTTTGTGGGTTTTTGTGAACTATTGTGAGACAAGGTATCAGTCTAACCTCTAACCGTCTCTCCCCCCCTTGGTCCCAAACTAATACAATCCTCTTAATCCTAACGACTGATAATTGTGTGCCTTCTTCTTCTTGGTAAGGATACATCGTAACGAGGCATACCTCATGTAACCTCGTGTAACTCAGGACTTATTATTTTGGTATATATTGTGTATCAACGGCCACCGAACCATTCTTTGTGGTACATAGAAAAAAAAAAAAAAAAAAGAAAACACAAAAACCCCAAAAAAAAACCCTAAAAGGTTGTACCGAACCGTTCTTTATTGTGTTGTACAGTAGAATATTAGAAAAAAACAAAGTGTCTAAAATAACATAAAATAAGTGCCACCCAGGAGGTTTGGTAGTTAAACCTTTAAAATTAGATTAGATTGAATAGATTTAAGGTTTAAAAATTTATAATTTAAACGCTCTTCCTCTTGCTGTGCCTAAAATTCAAAAAAAAAAAAATAAAAGAAAAAAAAATTTTTTTTGGCCCCCCCCCGGGGGGTTTAAAAACAAACCACCCCCCCCAGGGAAAAAAAATTTTTTAAAATTTGTGTTTGCCTTCGAAATTCGACCGTATCCTCCATGTACGGTTTAAGCACTCGCCCGGTACCGCACAACCCTCCCAAAGGCCGAGAACAAATTTAAATGAAATTAAAACTTGCCCTCGAACCGGGAATCGAACCCGGTACCCCTCACCTAGCTGCCACTTAATGAGACCGCTAAGCTATGAGGCCCTCTGCAATATCATTACCAGCTATTGTTTACACTCAGCTCTGTAATCTTTTGCCAAACGATTACCAACAATAACTATAGTCGGAGTCGTCTGACCAAATGTGGTATGACAACTATGAAACTAAAATTATTTACAATTTAACAAATTATGTCATTTTTTATTTGTTTAACCTTAACTGCCATTGCACAAGCAAACGTTTGGTAAAAGATAATGCGTTTAAAAGGTAATATTGAAACCTTATTCTTAATCGTGTCTTAATCCACGATAAGTTCTTAAGACGAAGAACGCAATTGGATAGACACTGAAATGCATCGTAACTACTTCTCGTTATGTATATATTAACTGCCTTCCAATCGGAAGAGATTGTTGTTTCGCCGGGTATTAATACCTTCAGCCACGAAATCAGTAATAGATAGATTTTAGTACGTCTATGCTTACATAATTTCAATGCAATACAAGTTGTATTTTTTTTAATTTTATAGTTATGTAACTCCGCGTAAATCGACGTATAATTCCGAGTGAATTTCATTTTCACAAAACAAAATATTAGTTCAAATGTTTAACGGTCTAATATGTTAAATATGATTTAGTATTGAAACACTATCGAGCGAAAGATCGTTGACCTAATTTAGGAGCATGGTTCGGTAAAGTTCATCGCGTGTTAAATTGCCATTTGTAGACCAACTTTATACAAAAATTACATGTTTTATGGAATGGATTTTTCTTAAGATGTGCTATTTTTATATACACAATGCTTAACGGCTTAAACGTTTCTTTGTATAAATAAAGATATCTATAAATATATTATATCATTCCAGTGTGAAAATACATCAACGTTACCTTAGTATTTAAATGCGAATCTCAATCTTAAAGGTCGCGGAATTCAACTATTTTGATAAAAACTTGCTTAAGAATAAACATCGTCAGGAAACCGGCATGTCATAGAATAAAAATCGGCATATGTCAGGCACAAAAGGCTAATCAAATTCAAACAGATGAGGAATTTATTCGTGCATTTAATGAACAAAGTCGCGGCTAAATAAGGTGCTAGTAGTAGGATTACAATAAAAATAGTATATGTGTGTGTACAAAAGCATTCTCAATTCCTCAACTCCCATACTATAAAGGGACGGATGTCCTACACGACTGTTTATCTGAGTATCACGAGGCCGACAACTTTACGTGCTTATTCTAGGTAGGGGTTTCAATAACCGTTGTCAGTTCGTACCAAGTGAACCAATGGTACAGTACAGTACTACAACCCTTGTTCTTTACCTTAGTTTTCCGTATCTGTCTGTTTCTTTTCTTAATACGCAATTAGTGACTTCTGACATACGCCGTCGATTATTGGATGTCGGTATGTCGTTTTCCTCACTGAGTTTTCCATCACTGTTTGGACAATAATAATATGCGTACAACGAAACAAAATTCCATTTTGGCTCAGCCGTGATTTTTACACACGACCTCAGGGTTGAGAATCACTCCCAGAAGCTGCTAAACCAACACAGCTTTAGTTAACTTAGAAATTTACTTGGGAAAATAGAAATTCCGTTTTTGAATTTTCGCCCAACTCCGGATTTTAACCCGACATCTCATGATCGGCAGTTGAATAGGTTAAACGCTAGAGGAAAATAATATCCGAATTACGCCAATGTTTAGTTTTCTGTATTTTATTTTTTATACGTTTGAGTACAATCTCAGTGCAATGTGTTTTTGTTGTAATTTATATAGTTCGATAAGTGTGCATTAGATAAGATTAATAAGTCGATAACATGTGATTAAAGTGAGCTTTTTTGTTACAGTAAAAAAAGCGCGCTATGTTGGTATTCAAGGTACGTATATTCTATTTCTTTATCATTTGAGGAGCTATATAGGGCACAGGTCAAAAATATCTACTTGTCTGGTTAATGATTATTCTAGTATGTTTAGGGTTTCTGTGCCAACCCGAACGAATATTTTGTTTCAACGAAAATCATACCATAATAACCTCCAGGTTATATAGCTTGTGCAGTAATCCTTAATTCACAGAGCCGATATTTTTTTGTTATTGTTTATTTAAAACCGGCTGGTATACGTAATACTTGAACTTATTAAAAAATAATGGAAACATATGCTGTTTCATTCCTATTTGTACTGATGAAAAGAAAATTAAACAATCACAAAGATACTGAACGGCAATCAAAACAATGTATATTTAAGAAGTTACAAAAATAGATTTGTAAAAAATTCAAAAGAACCTTCTCAGTCAAAAGAAAGTACGAAAAGAAACAAATAAAATAGCTGTTAAATAATGCATCATCAAAGCGAAAAGAGTACAAAAGATTCTGACTCCTACTGTTAGTATAAATAAGGTTTATTTCACAGGAACTCAATTCAACACATACGTGACGCTCAAGTTGCAGAATGTCAAGTCGACAACGGTGACAGTCAAGGGTCCGACTCCATGTTGGGAGCAAGACTTCCTTTTGTAAGTGTTTCTATTGTTTTTTCACATAAATACAATGTTCAATTTATTCTGCACTTTATTTATATAACTATTGAATTCATTTTAAAGTGCAGTTACGAAATAAGCTCGACCTTGACCTGTGAGATGCTTTATGAAAGTGAAATTTAAGATTTAAATAAACGTTAAATTTTCATTCTCGTTGTTGCTGGACGTGTGATAACTTTAAATATCTTGTTATCAATATGGTTGGATTTCAACAAATGGGGTTTTTATCATACCGGTGAAGCTTAATCTATCTATTTTGTGTATTTTTTAAAAGTTTTTATATACTTTAGTATATTAAATATCATTTTAGAATATTTTTGATTTAATATATTAAATATCATTTCGTTTATACAAATCGATGTTTATATTATATATAGATGTATCCACCGATATTACCACTAGAAGACTGATAACCGAGACATGATATCGTTCTTCGTTATTGACTTTATCGCAAATAAGTAACATGTACGACAGACCCCTCGAGGTTACTATTAAAACTATTCCTAACGTCTAATTTTCTCGCCTTCAGATCTCAAAATAAAAAAGAATTAAAGAAAGAAATACAAGAAAAAAAAAAACTTTATTGTACAAAATAAAAACTTTTTTGTCCATAATAAAAAGGATATTGGGGTAAAAATAAAGTGCACTAGCGCCCACACTACGATTCCTCGTGTCGTGGGCAGCTAGTCTCCTTTTGGACATGTTAACGGTACTTGACAATAATTTCTACATAACTTACATTTTTAATTATACTATTGGACTTAAGACAAGTTAAGATGTTGTTTAAGATTGTTAGATGTATAACGTTTTGAACCGTTAGTGAACATTTCGTTTTTAAGAAAGTGGTTAAAGATGAAAGGATTTTTGAAGGAGTAAATGCGTTGGGCGAAGAAAGTGCGTTTTTTGGTTAGCTTGTGTGTATGATGTGGTATTTGTTTGTTTACTAAAAGGTCTGAATATTGCTATTAAGTATAGTTGTCTATCCGTTAAAGTTTTGTTTAATTTTGAATTGAGTAGCGAAAAGGTTTCCTGTAGGATATCATAAGAAAGGCACGTTGGGCATTGAAAACGATCGTCAAATTAAATTGATTAGATTTAGGTTTAAGAATAACTTTATTTCTCATAAGAATTGCATACATAATTTACTTACTGAGAAACAATATGTAAAACTAAGATTAATAATTAGAGCGCACAGATGTAGTCAAGTAAACGTCAGTACCTACTGAAACTTGTTTTTTTTTAAATATATTAAAAATAAATCACTGTATTAGTGACTGAACCGCTAAATATGAAATTTATTTTAACTACGTAACTGTAGTAATTTTGTTGCTAATCACAACGTGCTTAAAACCAACCAAAAAATACTCACCTGCAGGGGGTTATAATTTAAAACAAAACTACTTTTGTTGAATCAAGTCACACATTTTTGATTGGATTTAAATGCTATAATCAAGTCGTTATACATACTAACCGGGTATTCACTTTAAATAAGATTTCTGCAGAAAAGACCGTAACATCCACACCGTAACAGTGAGAGGGATCCCAATTTTGAGATCGTAGCACGTAATTCCAAGTATTTTATTAGTTTTCGACACTGGCCCTACACGCTTTATTGAGAGAATTATGTATTAATTGCGTTTCGTCCTTAGATGGCATTTTGCTTTATAGAAAATGTCCGTCAAAATCATTTTTTTTATACATAAAAAGATTGCCAACGCTCGACACACTGATACATTGGTAAAAACAAACACAAAATACAATTTTTAATGTGACAAGCACTTAAAGGCAAACATGACATACATGTTGAGATCATACAAATATCAATCAAAACAATTATTAAACAAAACAAACATTACAAAAAACCAAATACTAATTAAAAAAATTGAAATTCCAAAATTAAAAAAACCGATTTTATAGTGTAAGGGGAGCAACTATGGATATCCAGTACGTTTATCAGAATGCTTAATCTGGACATCGGTGAGCTTTGACCACAACGCGTAGTAAGGAAAGAGAAACAAATGGAATAATAGAATGCCTTTCGGAAATCTTAAAAAAAATATCTGTATATAAACTAAATAAAATAAATAATTTACTTTAGTTTTTCGTTCTCGTAAAATAAATCACTTTATAACATATTATTTGCTCAGTACAACTTACATGTATATTAAGATATATATATATATATATATAGTTCTACCATATTTTTGTGTGCTCTTTATAACAAAAAATATTTTTATTAAAAGCCAAACTTTGAGACAATTTTATGTAATATTTCTAACTACTGTAATTTGCCTACGAGACTACTATTTTTACATTTTAATATTATTGTCTTACAATGTGTGGGTTTGAGACAAGATATGAATGGTCTTGTAATCTGTAGATTACGGTATGAAAGAAAATTGAACGTAAAGGTATATTATTTTATGCTATTTAAAAAGAAAATGTCATCTCAAAAGTTTTTTGTTATATTTAAAAAAAACTCCTAATTTCAACTATGTAGCTTCCGGAGTGTTCACCAAATTTATTAAAACTAACTATGTTCAGCTAAATTTTTTTACAATGCAAAAAAAAAAGTAAAACATATACAGGGTGGCCAAAAAGTCGTGGATCAAACGCAAATAGGGGATAGATGAGGTCATCAGCGGCAAAAAAATGTTTCACGGGAGGTCTCTAAGGTCAACCCCTGCAGAGTTATGATTTATTTTGCGTTTTATAAGAAAATTGACTTTTTTTTACTAATTCTTATTAAAATTCGATAAAATCTACATCCTGTATATTTTTCATAATATCCACTACATTGGTGCTGATGAGTTCTTGCTTAACACATACTATTTATAGTTGTTTATTGAGTGTATTGAAGATAATATTAAGTTATACGATATAATTTTTTTTCAAATCAAAACTTTTTGTTTACTTCAGACCCCTCTGTGAAAAAAAATTACTCTACCGAAAAGTGACCTTGTATTACAAGTTTTGGCGCATTTTATAGGGATTCTGAAAAGGTATTACACATGGCCATGAGTCGCTCTAATATCTTTCTAGGAAGAATTACAAACAAAGATTGTGAAATAATAATTATATTAAAACAATTATTTCTCAATGGTTGTTTGTATGAAACAAAATATTTTACAATAAAATATGCTCATGCCTATTTGCGTTTGATCCACGACTTTTTGGCCACCCTGTATAAACCATGAAAGGGACAATATTATATTATTAAGGACACATGAATCACGACAATTTCAAATGAAATGTGACTATAAATCTATAAATAACTCGACAAATAGTATTTTACGAGTACAGTCGTCACGTCAATCGGTCACGGTGACTTGCGCTGATCTTCTCGATTCCCGCTTATAAAATGTTTTTTTTTGAATTCTACCATTTAAAAGAACTTTCGCAGCGCAGCTTTGTCTTAATAAAATATGAATATGTTTGAAACACAACGTTTCGTATTCTTTATTGTTAAAATGTTCATACAGTTTTAAAGCGTGAGTGGTTTCAACAAGGTATTCATTGCACATGAATAGAGTTAGCTCAAGTGCCATTCACAGTCCATCCAGGTATCAGGTCAACTGCTGACGTCACATGGTCTGTTCAAATGTTTTTGGTGGAGCATGTCCCCCGTAATCCAGCATAAATACATGAAAATCTTAATTAGAATTGATTTGTATGAAATTGGGAGTTGTTGTCAGTCTTGTATCATTAAAATCTAATCACATAATCACTATTTAATTCCCTATAAACACAAAACACACACACATATATATATATATAGACAGAATAATATTGTGTATGATTGTTTAAACACATGGTATTAAACGCTACGCGCGATCCATTTATATACAATTACAGTAAGGAAAAGTTTTTTTAACATACCTATATAAACTTACAACTTTGAGATAAGTTTTAATTACGGAGTATTTTTTGTGAAAGTAAAGAACTTTACATAAATGACGAACTTTATATTTACAATGTCGACGGAATCGTTAAAAAAAGTCCAAAACGTGATTTTTTTGATTAAGACCCTTTATCCACGAAAAGAAATCATTATTTGTATTAAATTGTATATACGTTGTGTAGAACAGAGACAGATGTGTACTATAGCGTTGCTTACAATTAGACTGATTTAGTTTTTATGAGTTAGAGGCTTAGAATTACAAACGATTTATTACCAAGACTATATTGGTCCGTTTAAGATAAAATATTATGAGACAATGCAGAATGAAATGAACGTTTCTAATATCTTCCCTTCCGGCTGGATAAAACCGTGAAAAATTATGATTGCTGAGTAAAAATCTCCTTCCGTTGAAGCCATTTAATAGTAGCATCAAATTAATTTGTGTAAAATGTTTTGTGGGACTGAATTTATTTTGTCTCTCAAAACTCTATTCATTATTTTTTGTATTATTTAATTCGTTTTTGTCCGTTTAATTTACCATTTGCTTGGTTTCTGAATAGCTAAATTTGTAACATTTATAATGAGATAAACCTCATAATTTTATTTTGACCTAAATTTTGGTAATTTGAATGAATTGGAATTTACACTTCTGATAGGATTAGTCTAATTTTAATCCTACCAATCATAATAAACTTCACACTTTTGACAAAAATAAAAGTTGAATCTAAATTCTACCTCGTATTCGCTTCTGTCTTGAAAAGTAAAAATGATAATGAACTTCACATAAAACTCAAATTGCAAAATTCTCTGACGATTCATATAGAAATGTGGGCCATTAATGTTATAATGACGTACAAAGCCTTTTTGTTTCACGTTGAATAGGTGCAATTAAGGAGTGACTGAGGCTAGAAGTTGAATTGCGGCATATTCTGACGTACTACGCGTCGTAGCATTAGTAGTTTCTACGTGACTTTTTATCTACGTCTAGGCTTAGCGGTTTGGGATTCTTAAATCTACTAATAATAATTAACTAACGAATATATAAGGACAATTACAACGTACAGTAAAATAACCAAAATGTAATAGAGAATTTGATGTGTTCGTAGCTTAGTGCCTGAAAATGTATATACTTAAAAAAGAAAGAAAAAACTTTATGAACCATCATAAAAAATGATGTTTAGTTAAAAATGAAACTGCACTAGTCCCCTCCCCCCCTTCCATAATTACCTGTGCAGTATTATAATTTCTACATTACACTTACAATAAAATTGTAATTGTAATTAAACTTAATACATACATTTTTATTTTATTAAGCAGTGTGAGTTAAAAGAAGATGTAATGATAGAAATAAGTTAAAACTCTTAATGTCTTAAGGCTTGTATCTTCCTTGTTTTTTTACAGCTGCTAGTTTGTTTGTCTTTCTCCTAATTTATACATTTTGTGCTGTCATGTTTTGTCTTGTTTTACTTTGTATTATATTTTTATCAGTGAAACATTTTGTGGATATGTTCAATGTGTTTAATTTATGTTTTACTTTTATTTTATTTTTACTGTATAAAGATGTATCTGTTTAGTTTCCTTAATAAATAAATAAATAAATACGAATGCGTAGGTGGTTTGTCCATGTAGAATGGATGAATGAAAAGCAGTAAAACAAGTAGGATATCCAAGGTAATCGTGGATGGTGAAGTCGGGTAGGCCTTGTCCTGCACCAAATCCAGAAGTTACTGGAGATGGGACAACTTAAAGTTACAGGTACCCATATCCGACAAGCATATGTGGTGAATGTTATGAAAGTGGATTAATCGAGAGAGGTTTGTCAGAACTGTAACATGTGGAGATCCGTGGTCTCTGCCTAGTACTTCCGAAAAAAGGCGTGATGGTATAAATAAATAAAATAATTATTAGTTAGGTATACTTTTTGCTAATCTATACGAAATAGATAAAGAAATAAAACATCCTCTTATTTGTTCTCGTGGTTTAATGAACTTTCTATATAACTTATCTGTAGGACGCTGTTTTAGTAAGTTTGATTAAAACTTTTAGTACTTAGTAATTCTTCAAAAATACCTCACTTACTTCGCGTGAACTTAGAAAAGTTTTCGAGCTTTGCTTGTAGCAAGTTTGTATAATAATTAATTGATCATAAATATAAAATTTCGATGAAAGTGTATTTATTTCATCATACTTATTATTATTGACGAAATATTTCAATAACAGTGCTCCTCGAGTTCCTCATACACGTCTGAATGTGACGCTGGTAAAACCGTAATATTTCAATAATCTTATTTAAATAAAAATGACTAATATTCACTCACTAAATGTATCCGAAATTAAATCCTAGTATTTGCCTATCACGTGTCCGCTATTCACGCACAGTTTAAAAGATTTACTGCGGCCGAGAGTAGACCGTAATAAATCCATCTCTAGCAATAAGCCGGGCTGCCAATCCTCCATTTTATTTTTCGTTGACCTTTGGACGCTTCCTGGTAATTTTTATCGAAACATTGCTACGGTTACATTAAATAAGGCGTAGTTAAACGCTATTTCCGTTTGCTGAAAATAGTTAGCGGGTCGGAATGTCTACGGCCTGCTACGACGTAGCTATTGTATATAATAACCAGGTTTCATAACTTGACAATTGACTAATAATACAAAAAATCCTCTCGTGCTTACAGTTATTGAATGTAATTATATCTAATCATTTACTAATTTATGACTAACTAAATCATTTGTTAAACGTTCAAGACTTGTGACTTGTGTTAATAAGAAGAAACACTTTCTTCAGGATGGATATTGTGCAAATGAATGTGTGTGTCCTATAACCCCTAGATGGGGCAGAAGGCGTCCACAGTGAGTCTCCATCGCGTGCAAATGGATGTGTGTGAATGAATCAAAATGTATCTTTGTTTAACTTCCCTTGAAAAAGAACATAGACTAATTATGCATTTAAATCCACGTTTTTTCAAAACCAAAATGAAAATATTCCTTTCCGCTTAGTAATTAAAATTTATAGAGTTGTAACTTATATATAATACCAAATCTTTTTTCAAATCTCTCTCTCTCGGTAACTGCCAATACATTGTTAGTATTGTGATGTATTCTAACCCCCTTATTTGTATAAAAATCAGTGTAATTTCACCGTTATAACTAAATTATTCATAAACAATGCAGTTAGACTGATTTAGTTTCTATGAATAAGGGCGTAAATATAAAGGGCGTCGTCTAATAAGCAACATCGCTAAGAGCTTCCATTAACTTGGCATCTACAACGTCATCAGCTTATTAGGCATTGCTAACCTTCAACTACAATTTTAGCTCAAATTAACCTTGCATTGATCGTGCAAGCAATTATTTTCATATACATTCAGCTAAACAGACAGAACATATTGTTTCAAATATATTTAGTTCGTGATTTAATCATTTATTAACATGCTTATTAGTATAGCTCTAAAAACACAAACGTCAGAACCATAGATAAAATAGTGATCATGACGTTTTAGATTGAGTTAAACTCCATGTTTAGAGTTAAGAAGTTCAGTTCTCCAGTAGTTAAGAATTCTAATTTAAGCTGTTCTGATGAAATATTTGTTATAGTATAAGCAATAAACTTTTATAAAACTGTCTGAACATTTATATTGAACAAACTTTGAAATCCATTTATTATATGAAGTCACACAAATATATGTTGCAGAAAAATCTACACGAGCGATTCAATTTTGTGAACACACAGTTTCACACTCCAATACCCTAAATGTTTCCCAATATCAGTGTCGTATGTTATGCGATTTGTGACTACCCAGGAACGACTCGGGTTTACGATACCCCAATATATTTAACATTTTGTTGTTCATTTTATGCCATGGTGCCGATTTTCTTTCCTCCTATGGGATTCCATTGTAAGATTTTTGTATTCTCTATAAACATTTGTATAAAATTAAGTCATTAATAGACTTAATACTCCTTCACTTTTTACGAAACTTTGATGTTTCTAAACCTCATTTGTTTTCTTTCGTACACACTATCAACATGAAAAAAAAAATATAAAAAAAGATATTCAACTGTTTGACATAGCTTCGAAATTATGAAAACTTATTTAAAATAAACCAATGATGCTACATCTCTTTAGGGTTTGACCTCAGATTTCTGAATCTGTTTTATGATCATTTTTTAAATCTAATAGGCAAGTAGGTGATCAGCCTCCCGTGCCTGACACACGCCGTCGACTTTTTGGGTCTAAGACATATCGGTTTCCTCACGATGTTTTCCTTCGCCGTTCGAGCAAATGTTAAATGCGCACATAGAAAGAAAGTCCATTGGTGCACAGCCGGGGATCGAACCTACGACCTCAGGTATGAGAGTCGCACGCTGAAGCCACTAGGCCAATACTGCTCTGATAACTTATTTAGGCTTTACAATAAATATTTTTTACAGTGAAATAAACGACATCAACTTGGGCCTCCTGGTGGAAGTTTGGAACAAAGGGGTCATCTGGGACCGTGCTTTAGGCTACCACTACCTACCACTCACATCCGTCGCTTATGACGAGGTAATTAAGTTATTATTTGAAGAGTTCAAGAATGCCACTATATTTACCAATACTATATATTTATAATATCAGATTAGAATACGTTACAATGGAGGGTAGGATTTATTACCTGATATTAGTAGGAATATTTCCTGCAATTGTTTTAGTCAATGTCTACTAAAGTCTTAAGTGTTTAAACTTAATAGCAATACTGGGGGTAAATTATTGTTGATCTTTTATTTTTGTAAATATTTATTTATTAAATTAAATGCAACTAATTAAAATATTTTTAAACTAACATTTACAGTAGTAACATATTTTGTGAACTGACTAAAATGACTGATGTTTTGCGCAAAGTAACAATTTAATGATTTTTTTATATTCTTCTTCGGATCAATTGATCATGTGTAAATTTTAATATTACAGCAAGAGTGCGGCGGGCGCTGGGTGGAATTGGAGGCTCAGTTGATGATGCGCGGTGGTGCCGTGGTCGGAACTACCGGACCCACGGGCCATGCGCTGCTCCTCGACTGCAGATTTGAACCGCCTTTTGGTGAGTCGTAGTTTCATTAACATTATTCAGAAATGCCACTTCAAAATTAAGCTGACATCTATCATTACGCGACTAAAGCATTGATTGGAACCGAAAACGATTTTTTTTTTGTTTTCATTAGGAATATGTGTCGAATGAACTGAATGTTTAATAGCAATAGTTTATTAAAACATAAAAATCAAATAGGGTCAGGTGGGGTAAATGCGAGTACCATAACTAGATTGACTTGTTATTTTGTGGTCTTTTACAATTTACAAATAATTTTTATTGTGAATATTAAACATGTTTTAGGCTTTTGTTTGATGTAATTACTTATATTTATTTATGGATGATTACAGATTAACTCTCTATTGCATTTTCCCGGTGTAAATGGGTAAATGTAAAAATTATGTTAAAATTCTAATAGTGTAGATACTAATCTGGGGTAATAGCAATAAAATACGAAAATTGAAATATACTTTGGTTTTTATAGCAACGAGATTGGTGAAAATCTGGCAATCCATCAGATTCAATAAGTTGTCAGAGTGTAGTGCAAGAAGTACTTTACGTGTATAAGATATGCCAGCACTAGTTTCTTTTGAGTGTAAACAGTTAAAGTTATAGTATTACATTTGCCCCGTTCATGCATTTACCCCACCTGACTATATACAGTATTTACAATTTTCTTTTCAGAGTAATAATAAAAATAACTAAAGAATATTAAAACAAATTTAAAAAGTTTGGTCCCTATGGCAGTGTACCTTTAACGCTGGCAGCATTTCCTCACTCTATTGCGATATTTATTCGTTGAGCGAGGAAAGCACCAGCTCTTAGGTCACCAGTACTATTACCAGGTGGAGGTGAGACGGGGCTATCGTGTCCACACAAGTAGCATCCCATACCAAAGCCCGTTGCATCTTCCAAGGGATCAACTGAAGTAGATCGTCTTGTTATTACTTATGTCTTCATGATTTTAAGAAAATACACTCGTAAGAAAAAATACCATAATTCTTAAGTATTCTTCTCTTTAAGGTTAATTCAAAGAGAAACAACGGTTAGTATAAAAATGTCAACACAAGAGTCCGTTACGTTTCAAATCTGTACATTTATAATGTAAAAAATTTAATCAAATTGATAAAGTACTTAAATTGCATGCTAGTAAAGATATTAACAAATTCTATTAGGTCCTTTCGATCTATAAAATCTTCACAAATTTTGTGTAATTACGTCCGAGGAGAGGCTAACATTAATAATGCTATAATTGTTGAAAATGAACTAATCATTTGATTTTGCCATATAATAATGCTGTATATAAAGTATAAACTTCGAAATTTCGATATTTGACATCGAAACTAGGCTTTATCTTAATATAATTTAACAAACCGTAAAACCAGATTTTACACTAATAGATCTTGTGTTTGTTTATATATATTATATTATGCCATATATACCTATGTTGTCAGAAAGGTTAAAAGTCTTGCGTATAATCTTTATATAATGGTAAAAAGAAGTCAATTACTAAAATTAAGAAACATCCTTTGCGAAGCTTAGTTTAATATAAATATTAAACCTCATTAAATTAAGATTTTTTAACTAACTCAAAGCGAATTCAACAGTCTACTTGTAAAATTAAAGAAGCATGTTGCTTGAACAGGAAATTCATTTTCCGACGATATCTCTTTGATTGCGACGTCTTAAACACGATTCAGATTTACATCTTTTAATTTAATGCTATTTATGTTTTAAGCAAAAGAATATTTAAATTAATTAAACGCAGTGCTTGCATTTTAAATTCTATAGAGCTTTACATGAGGTTGTAATGTTTTAAATCATTTGACGAATGAACCAAATATTCAAATTTTAATATTTTATATACATATTGGAATTTGTTTAATATTGAAGGTTTATAAGGCCATCATAATGTTGAATGTATATATTCACACTATATATATATAGTGTGTGTATAGGAAGTGATTGCAGTCGAAACAATAAAATCCAGTTAGTCGATAGAAGGATTTAAACATACATGTAAGGATCTAATCCGCTCCGACAATCTGCTTTATAAAAATACCAGAAAAACGCGAAAATGTGTCTGTTCCGTCTCCCACGTGACAGGTATTGACTGGGACTTTTTTGTACATTAAGCAGTCGGCAGAGTAGAGGTTACCCTTTTGTAAGAAAAACAGTGTCATTATAGTGTAACACACACATTAAAAACATACTCAAAAGCAAAACTTGTCAAATAAAAATGTTGTTATGTAGGCTAGGAAATATTATCATTCTAAGAGCAGAACATTGAATAAAATTATTCGTCTACTTGGCAGTGGTTTCAACTGTGTCAGGGCGCCGTCTGGCATATAAGGTTCTATCTAAGTTATGGTGCGGTCAACCTAGTTCATGTGATTCCAACGATCAAGGTTTCATATGGGAACCAACATCTGGCCTTATGCGGAAATATTTTCACCGCAATTTTGAATTAAGAATTCATGAATAGATAAGAGAAGGCTTCCGTAATTATTTCTATACCGCCTCTTCGCCTCGATTCGGAAACCCTGGGTTCGAATTCCGGCGAAGAATATTAATTGTTTCATGTTATTAAGCACAATAGGCCTAAGCTTTAACAGTCTGACATTATAAATGTGATGAAACTAAATCTATTATATATATGTAACAGAGGCACAAATATGGCCTTTACACATACATGAATGTAAAAATCTATTTACTATAAAATAATCATGCAATGATATTTTCTTATTAGGTATAAAAAGTTTTATTTGAAGCTCAAAATAGCTGTTACGCTACTTAGATAATATTCCTGTTAACTTTCGTTTGTGTGGGAAGTGAATCCATATTCATAGAGCTTCTAATGATTGAATTTTGTCTAATTAAGTTTGTGAAATAAGATACCAGTTGTGATATTGTTGTGAACTCGGGTGTATTACTAGCTGTAAATCTTATGAAACTATGAATCAGTAGGAGTAGGAGTTTCTTTACAGAAAATATAAATTTACGTACATAATGTAGAAAAGCAAAGTTCCTTATCGTAATTCCTAACGCGTTGATTAATAGTCCTTTATAAAAACCGCATTGATGTCACAAAGTTGTTGACAAACAACGATAAGATCGAGTTTTCTTCAAAGTATTTTTATCTCCATACTAGGGCGCCGTCTCGACGGGGTTGCCAGACCCAAATATTCGTGTGGGAGGATCGCCGAATCATACCGATAGGAAATTTTCATTCATTGGAGACAATGTGGCGACTGTACAAACATAATATCAATACGACGTAATATTTTTCACAATTCGAAGGAATACATTTTTGTGAAATTTGCAGAGTAAACGCCTATTGTATATAATATATATTTACCCTTATTTATAAAAACTGAATCAGTCCTTGTTTTAACACAAGGACTTTTGCGTCGTTCTATCAACTTACATAGACTATGTATTTGTTTCTCCTAGGTTAACCGTTTTTAATACCATATATTTCCTGTTATAATAGATATAATAAACTATTGACAAAACAATTTTGACGTGTTTTGTTTTATATCCCGCCAATGCTGCCTAATAATAAATTCTCTTTATGCTAAATTTGGAAATCAGTTGTGTACCTAACGCACGTAGTCTGAAGTTAGTTGCTGGTTTACTCAAGACTTCACCATAACAGTAAGTGTTCCACGATCTAAATAGGGTTGATAATTGCAGGCACAACTACATCTTAAAGCATAATTTATCTTTAAGAAAATTAATTTTTTATCAAATATTTTAATATTATATAAAATTAAAATTCTGTTAAAAACGAGTACAATAACAATACTTTTTATTTATCAAAACTAAACGTTACATGCTTCTGTATAGCACAAAGTATTTGATCATAGAAGGAGTGTTGGGCAATTCTGTAATTTTTTTTTAGTCCTCATATGGCGTAGAAATTTCTTTAATCTCTTAAGTTCTTTACAAGCGTATTTGTATTAATGTTCAATGCTACGTTATTTTTTCCACTTTATGAATTGTTAAGACCAGAATCAAGTATTTATTTTTATAATAGAAATATATTTAGTATTTTATTGCTAATTCTCTCGCTGTGACGTATTTTTTTAAACGGAATTAACGAACGGAGTTGAGTAAAGAGGACACACTCTCGCATTCGACACATTTGGACATTAGTCCATCTATAAAAGTTTGAATAAAATTGGTTATAAATCCCATTAGTAAATAAATAAGAAAAAAGTTATGCTCTTTTCTATCAAAATCAATTTCAAATACAAATACAAATACAAACATGCAGATGTAAAAAACTTATAGCTCTAATACCTCAACCTACCTAACAAAAAAAATATATCCCAGTCGAGAGGTGCCCTCAATACGGTATTGTGATACTAATACACTATTTGTGAAGAAAACCATTTGCTTTTTTGAAATTTTCGTTGTTCTGTGTGATCTGATGTTAAGTCAATTTTTTTTGTGAAATCTTCATTTTGAAATTGTTTTGCCGGGAATCCCTAGTTTTCTCCATTTATTGTTGGTATATACGTTGGTTGGTATTTTATAAGCCAAGTGATATCAACTGCGAAACCTATTTCGCTTATAGTACAACGGTTTCCAATTTATATTCCAGATTTCTACAACAATACGAAAAGGAAAAGCCAATCGAAATGGTATTGTGAAAGAAAATGTAGGCGTGTACTTATGTTTTCCATCTATTCCATTTCCTTTATAATAGACAAGCCATAGAGTTTAATTTCGCTGAGATTGGTATATTGAATATAATATTTTATTACAAGATTATATATAAGTTAGATATTTATTTATTTTATGTACGGAGATAATGTAATTAATAAACATTATGTCATTTATTCTTTTAAATTGGCAACACAGACTTACTGATTTGGACTTACAGGTTATAAATTGTCAATGTCAAAGTGTCAGTAGTGCGTTGGATAGATCGTTGAGTTTCAATTGTTCTCTAGGACTTGACAAAATTACTTTTTGACAGACTTGACTCACTAAGACTAAACGCTAAATTACTTTG